TTGATAGCTCAGGAGAGAAGATTAAGTCGTAATTAGAGAAAGAATGGTTAGAGATTAAGAGTAATATCAGTATTGTAACTCAACGAGCATGGATGAATAGATTCATGGACAGTAATGATGATGAGCTTGAGCATGTTGCTTTCCTTGTGTGTTGGCTTAGCTACTTTGTGTTTCCATTACGTTATTATCATCTCTATGAAGCTGTGTTTCCGATTGCTGTTCATCTTTCAATTGGTACAAAGATTGCTTTAGCTCCAGCTGTTCTTGCTCACTTGTATGCAGAGTTGAGTCTGTTGAAAAACCATATTCAAGGTTTCGGCGAATCAACTGTCAAAACTGATTTCACTGCTTTGTTTAAGCTGGTTCAAGTCTGGACATGGGAGAGATTCAAGGAACTACAGCCAGAGCCTAAGGAGTTGCTAAAAGGTGAGCCAAGATTGGCTCTTTGGCATGAGACACAGAGAAATCTCGACGATGTGAGGCGGATTCTTGACCACTCGAAGATCGACAGTTTTGAGTGGCGTCCCTTCACAAAACCTGTGAAAGGATGGGACTTTCCTCGGTTTAACCCCGAGAAGGCGATGTTGGTTCCTGTTGGTCCCAATCTTGATGATGAATTTATCTCTTTTGCTCGATGCATTAAGGTTTCTGTGCTTGTTGGTATTGGTTATGTGGAGCATTATTTTCCCGATCGTGTGGCTTCGCAGTTCGGGATGCTTCAGAATGTTCCTAGTCTTGTTACCCGTAACAAACTTTCACAGGAGGAAGCTTGGGATCATTACAACAAGCCTATTGATGCTTTGGCATTACACATTCCTTCTCGTTATGCAGTACCTTGTGTTACTCCAGTGTTCTGCGAGTGGTGGAGAAAAACGTTTCAAGAATTTCAGAGTTCTAAAAGTGGGGTTGCAAGAAACATTATAGGTGATGATGATACGAGTTATGTTCCTTCAGGTTCGAAGAAGAACAGACCAAGCGAGGATGTAAGGAAGACATCTTCTAAGGATTCGAGAAGAAAGAGACGCAAGTACATGAAGCTAGCTCGTGAGAGTACTAGTTTTGTTCCTTCAGGTTCTAAGATGAACAGAACAAGCGAGGATATAAGGAAAAAGATATCTAAGGATTCAAGAAACAAAAGACGCAAGAGAATGATGAAAGTTCGTAACAAGAAACGCAAGTACATGAAGCTATCTCGTGTGAACGATGAGAGTAGTACTATGGATCGTTTTCAGACAAAGGTTGCATCAGACAATGATGAAGATGATGATAGCCTCACCATTTGAGAGAAAACGAAAGAAGAAGTACAGTGATGTAAAGAATAGTAAAGGAGATGATTCTGAACCTCTTGGTAAAAAAAGTAGACTTGAGACAAATAACAATGATTCGGGAACTAGTCAAAAGCTTGCTTCGATAAGCGATGAAACTGAGCAAAGGAATGAAGAGACTGACGAAACTGGAAGCAAAGCAGGGAAGAAGAATATAGGTCTGAGCCCAATTGATGAAACCAACTCTTCAGATTCTTGTCTTGGTGCTAATGGAGTTGACATTGTTGTGTCACCACCAGAGACAGTGCAAAACTGTGATGATGAGTTTGATGTATATGGAAGCAATGCAGATATGATCAATGATGGCAGCGAGGAACCAAATGTTTTGCTACAAGAAGATGGTTCAATAGCGGGAGAAAAGGCGAGCTCCGATGAGAAGTTGTGTAGTGAAGCTGAGAAAGAAGATGATGACATTTTGATCCAGAAAAAGCTTGAAACAGATGAGCTACCAAACAACAATGAACCGACTACTCCTCAAAAGCTTGCTTCTGGAGGAACTAATGGAGATGAAACAAGCGAAGCATATGATGTTGTAACTCAAGGACAAGATGAAGAAGATGGTTCCATAGCGGGAGAAAAAGTGAGGTCAGATGAGAAAGAAGATGATGTTGTTGATAATGAAAGGTTGGTCCAAGAAAAGGTTGCAATAGAGGAGGAGAAGGAGGATCTAGCATTGAATGCAGACAACAATGGGCCAATTTTACGAGAAGATGATGTTGCTGATGATAATGAAAGATTGGTCCAAGAAAATGCTGCAATAGAAGAGGAGGAGGATCTAGCATTGAATGCAGACAACATTGGACCAACTCTACGAGAAGATGATGATGATTCCTTCGAGAAGAGTTCGCACGAGATGGAGGTACTAGTGTCATCGATAGAAGCCCGTATTGAGAAGGCAGAAAGAAAGTTGGCATGGTTACTAGAGAGGAGAGCCATAAGACAGAGGAAAATAGCAGCGGCTCGTTTAATCAAAAGGCGCGGGATGGGAGCGGTTTGAGTTCGATAAAGATGCTCTAGTTAATGATGAGGAAATAGAAGAAGGTGAAGTTTCTTGTGAAATTTCTACATAATATTCCATGCTAAGAACTTCATATGATTATATATGCACGTACCGATGATGACGCTTCCTGCATAAGTGTGGTTCTTTCAAGCGAAGCGGATTACAAATAGTTCTTTTAAGTCCTTTCATTAGACTGGTTTGCTTTTTAAGTGTGGTTCTTTTGCTTTAGTAGTTTAAGGTTATGTTCTATGTTTGCTTTTAGTATCTTTTGAAGACTTGTTTACTTTTAAGTGTTTCATTTTGTATCTTTTGAACTCAGTTATTATGAGCTAATGTGTTCGTATACATTGTATGCTTCTATCGAAAAACCGTAGAAGAAGAGTATATGATACATGAAAATGGAGAAATTT